TACCTCTCGATTCTCAAGAACACTGAATCAAGGAATCAATTCTTCCTGGAATCAACCCCTAGCCCTATCATTAGCAGTTCATCAAACGCACAAACTCTTTTATGATGACTGACCTGATCTGAGTTCAGTCTGCCCTGGCATGGAGTCTCCAACTCTCTCTCTCTCTCGCTCTCCGTGATTCATTGTTTTCGTGAGTTGAAAGAGCGCTGGACAGAGCATTATTAGATGTGTGTTGTCGAGAAGGGAGAGTTCAGTGTGTGTGTCCGCCTCTTCTTCTGTGGTGTCTGACCTCATCCAGCTCCGTCCTGACCGGCGTTCTGTCATCCTACGGGGTCAGTGCTCCAGATTAAAACCTCCAGGAGATGTCTCCGTCTGACCGCTCACATGCCAAACACGCAACACAAAACAAACCCAAATGAATTTCCAGACCTTTGAGTAGCAGCAGCTGCTGGACTGTAAAACCCTCACAGAGAAATTGCTTTTCCAAATTCATCACATCCACATCCATCAAAGCTTTCCTAACAAATGCAGCAATTTAACAATACACTTCTGCACTGTTATTATCTGATTCCACCACACTGCTGATCATCTCACCCTGGCTACACCACTGCAAAAACATGAGCTTCTTACTTGTCTCGTTTTAGTCCAAATATCAAAGAATGATTCAAATCGAGAAGCATTTTCTAGATGAGTTTTTTTTCTAAAGTAGTGGTCTAGAGTGTCTATTTAAGGCTTGGTTGTGTTAATATGATGTAAAACAATATGCGCTCGTGCCTCATTTGTAGAAAATCACATTATTTGATCATACATCTTACTTTGTACTTTATTATATACCGCTACAAGGCCTTAATTTGTACCGGAAAACACCGGATACGGCACCTCTGAAATCTGATCCGGCACCTGATTTTACTGATTCCCCTCCTCAACCGCCCACCTCCCCGGTCCGCTATTCACTTTCAATTTCTTCCGCGATTCCACCAACCCTCTTCACTTTCCTCCGCGACTCACCAACCCACTTTACTTTCATCCGCGACAACCCCCCACTCTTCAGTTTCATCCTTCGTCCACGACACCTTCCCGTCCGCTATTCACTTTTACTTTCTTCCGCGACTCCCCAACCCTCTTTACTTTCATCCATGACAACCCCCCACTCTTCACTTTCATCCTTCATCCACGAGACCTCCCCCGTCCACTTTTCACTTTCAATTTCTTGCGCGACTCCCCAACCCTGTTCACTTTCGTCGGCGACAACCCCCCACTCTTCACTTTCGTCCTCGTCAATGACACCTCCCCCTGTCCGCTCTTCACTTTCACTTTCTTCCGTGACTTCCTAACCCTCTTCACTTTCATCCACGACAACCCCCCACTCTTCAGATTCGTCCACGACACCCCCCCCCCCCCGTCCGCTCTTTACTTTCACTTTCTTCCGCGACTCCCCAACCCTCTTCACTTTCATCCACGACAACCTCCCACTCTTCACTTTCGTCCACGACACCTCCCTGTCCTCTCTTCACTTTCACTTTCTTCCGCCACTCCCAAACCCTCTTCACTTTCGTTCACGACAAAACCCCACTCTTCACTTTCATCCTTCGTCCACGACACCTCCCCCTGTCCGCTCTTCACTTTCACTTTCTTCCGTAACTTCCTAACCCTCTTCACTTTCATCCACGACAACCCCCCACTCTTCAGATTCGTCCTTCGTCCACGACACCCCCCCCCCGTCCGCTCTTTACTTTCACTTTCTTCCGCGACTCCCCAACCCGCTTCACTTTCATCCACGACAACCTCCCACTCTTCACTTTCGTCCACGACACCTCCCTGTCCTCTCTTCACTTTCACTTTCTTCCGCCACTTCCAAACCCTCTTCACTTTCGTTCACGACAAAACCCCACTCTTCACTTTCATCCTTCGTCCACGACACCTTCCCCTGTCCGCTCTTCACTTTCACTTTCTTCCGCAACTCCCCAACCCTCTTCACTTTCGCCCATGACAACCCCCCACTCTTCAGTTTCGTCCTTCTTCGTCCACGACATCTCCCCCGTCCGCTCTTCCCTTTCAGTTTCTTCCGCGACTCCCCAACCCTCTTCACATTCGTCCACAACAACCCCCCACTCTTCACTTTCATCCTTCATCCACAACACCTCTCCGCCATCCACGATTATTCTGTTACTTTTTAATGCCAACTGTTTAAATAATTATTGATAAGATGCTTATGATAAATCAATGTTTGTTTATCTTCAAGCTCTGCTTCAGCGGCTTGACGAGTGTGCACGTGAAGCAGCCGGTGAGCGCCAACACACACACACATATTATGTATCATCAACCATCAACAAAAGGCCGAACCCTTCTGTGTTTACAAATGCAAGCGCAGCCGTTTACAGCGATTTCAGGTTAATGATGTCTGTATTTTGGACTGGAAGTGTGAGAGGTCTTTTACGGAAAAAATCCGTAACGTCCTGGCCTGTGTGAACAGCGTTTTTTTTTTTATTACCGGTAAAGTCGTTTCTGTAATTTTCCGGATATTTACCATCATCACTGTGTGAAAGAGGCTTATGAGTGTGTAGATAATGACAGAATTGGCCTTTAAGTTAGTCTCTTTAAATGCCAACGCCTCTAGACGCACAGATGTATTCTTCTAGAGTCTGCTTCAGTGGTTCTGTTGTTTTGTGTGATCCACTGGTCTGAAGTGAACCTGACGACGTCTGAAGCACAGAGCGAGCGCAGACTGCAGGATGATTTGTTACTGTCACAGGAAAAGTGTTTAGCATTGATGTGAACGTGTGTGTGTGTGTGTTTCAGCCTTTTCTCATTCAATCTCCACTGACCCCAGTTCAGCCCCGCCTGACTCTGAGCTCAAGGCTTTTCTAGAGCGCAGGATAGAGCAGATGTTATTCTGTGTGTGTGTGTGTGTGTGTGTGTGTGTGTGTGTGTGTGTGTGTGTGTGCGTGTGCGTGTGTG